AGAATTAACATTGTTAAAATGTCTATACTACCCAAAGTGATCTACAGATTCAATGCAATCCCTATTAAAATATGAACATCATTTTTTTGCAGATCTAGAAAAAAATAATCCTATGCTTCATATGGAACCAGAGAAAACTCCATATAGCAAAAGCAATCTTAAGCAAAAAGAACAAATTGGGAAACATTAATTTATCAGATTTCACCTAGACTATAAGGCTATAATAACTAAAACAGCATGGTATTGGCACAAGAACAGAGACACTGACCAATGGAACAGAACTGAGAACCCGGGTATAAAACCATCCTCATATAGCCATTTAATCTTTGAAAAAGCAGACAAAAACATACACTGGGGAAAAGAATTCTTATTCAATAAATGGTGCTGGGGAAATTAGGTAGCCACATGTAGAAGACTGAAACAGGATCTGCACCTCTCACCTCTCACAAAAATCAACTCATGGTGGATAACAGACTTAAGCCTAAGACATGAAACTATAAGAATTCTAGAAGAAAATGTTGGAAAAATTCTTATAGACATTGGCCTAGGGAAAGAATTTATGAAGAAGACCCCAAAGGCAATCACAGCAACAACGAAAATAAATAAATGATACCTGGTCAAATTAAAAAGCTTCTGTGCAGCGAAGGAAACTATCACAAGAGCAAATGTACAACCTACAGCAGGCGTCCTCAAACTATGGCCCGCAGGACACATGCGGGCGCTTTTGCCCGTTTGTTTTTTTACTTCAAAATAAGATATGTGCAGTGTGCATAGGAATTTGTTCATAGTTTTTTAAAACTATAGTCCGGTCCTCCAACGGTATGAGGGACAGTGAACTGGACCCCTGTTTAAAAAGTTTCAGGACCCCTGACCTACAGAATGGGAGAAAATATTCACATGTTACACATCCGGTAAAGGATGATAACTAGAATCTATATAGAACTCAGGAAAATCAGCAAGAAAAAAAATCAAAGAACCCTATCAAAAGGTGGGCAGAAACTTTTCAAAAGAAGACAGATTAATGGCCAAGAAACATATTAAAAAAAATGCTCAACATCTCTAATGGTCAGGGAAATGCAAATCAAAACCACAATGAGATTATCACTAAACTCCAGTGAGAATGGCCTTTATCAAAAAGTCCCAAAACAATAAATGTTGGCATGGCTGAGGAGAGAGCTCCCACTTATAAGTGAGTACAGGTGATATTTGTTTTTCCACTCCTGAGATACTTCACTTAGGATAATGGCTTCTGGGTTCATCCAAATTACTGCAAAAGACACTATTTCATTTTTTCATACAGCTGAGTAATATTCCATGGTATATACATACCACATTTCTTTATCCACTCCTCAGCTAATGGACACTTACTTTGATTCCCTATCTTTGCAATTCTGACTTGTGCTGCAACAAACATATCAGTGCAGGTGTCTTTCTGATATAATGACTTCTTTTCCTTTGCATAGGTACCCAGTAGTGGGATTGCTGGATGGAATGGTAGGTCTACTTTTAGTTCTGTGAGGAATCACCATACTGTTTTCCATAGTGGTTGTACTAGTTTGCATTCCTACCCACAGTGTATAATGTTCCCTTTTTATTGCATCCATGCCAACATCTATTGTTTTTTGACTTTTTAATAATGGCTATTCTGACATGGGTAGGGTAGTATCTCACTGTGATTTTAATTTGCATTCTTCTGATGACTAGTGATATTGAGCATTTTTTCAAATATTTGTTGGTCATTTATATATTTTCCTTTGAAAAATATCTGTTCATATCTTTTGTCCACTTTTTAATGGGTTTTTTTTTCTTGTTCATTATAGTTCCTTGTAGATTTTGGATATTAATACTTTGTGAATATTTTCTACAGAATTCTTTAGGTTGTCTATTTATTCTGTTCTTTTTTTTTTCTTTTGAGACAGAGTCTCACTTTGTTGCCTGGGCTAGAGTGCTGTGGCATCAGCCTAGCTCACAGCAACCTCAAACTCCTGGGCTCAAGCGATCCTCTTGCCTCAGCCTTCTAGGTAGCTTGGACTACAGGCACGCACCACCATGCTTGGCTAATTTTTTCTATTTTTAGTCGTCCAGCTAATTTCTTTCTATTTTTAGTAGAGACAGAGTCTCTCTCTTGCTCAGGCTGATCTCAAACTCCTGAGCTCAAGCAATCCTCCCACCTTAGCCTCCCAGAGTGCTAAGATTATAGGTGTGAGCCACCGTGCCCAGCCTATTTACTCTGTTCTTTAAGGAAAGAGCTACACTGAATTTTCATATGGACCAATGTTTATAACCAATATTTTCAATTTATTTTTAACTTTTTTCAGTGATTTTCTTAAGTAATCACTGCCATTAAACTGCCTTTGCCAACATCCATGAGACTCTGTTGGTCACATTATATTACATGGAAGATTGAGCAAAGGGGTGTCTTATGACGCTCCAAGAAAAATCTGTATCTTCACCCTTCTGTTATTAAGGCAACAGTCATTTTATTATTAGGAAGGCAATAGGGATTTTTACGCAAATCTCTCTGTTTTAAGGAAATACACTGTTATCCTCAGCTTTGGACCTACTTTTTCTTTTACATTTAGCTGACACCAGACTACGAAATAGAAAGCGATTAAGGGTAGAGATAAATGCAACAATGCACTTTTATGGTATTTTGCTTATTCAAAAATAAAAATCACCACAAGAAAAAAGAAAATGGCTTTGGTCCCATGGTATATGGTACTTCCATACTAGCACGCATGTTTGTTGAGCTGAGTTAGCTAAATATTAGAAGCTCAATGTTAAGGAGAAGCAGGAAGATTGAGGCCTAAATATACTTAGACAAGGTAATTTCCATTTTTCTAAAGATAATTATTTGAACATTGTTATGAGATCAGATCGTAAATGCTACATCTATTACACATGAAATGAATGGAAATATGGAATGCATAGCAGGCACTCAGTAACTAGTGGAATTGAATTAATACTAGTGGAATTGAATTAATAATATTCAAAAGCTCAGTGTTAGCCAGGTAAAAACTTATTATAGATAAAACTGAGAATTTCCATGGTTATTATTGTTGAATATATTTTTAAAAAGGGCTTGGTTTCTCCCTTACAAAGCTGCTATTACAGCACTTAGAATAGTATCAACATTCATATAATGAATAAGGCTTAATCAAGGCATCCACTAAGACAGCCAGCAAAATAATAGTGACAATAAAAAGAGTATGAACTTTTCATTGCATTAAGTAGTGATGTCAAGAGATTTAAATCTAGAAGCGAGAGAGGGCAAACTTTAGTGAAAATATAAATGTATACAATATAAAGAATGGCTTCAAATGAGGATGCTTTCTGTTGTCAATCTGTTAATTTTCTACAATGTTCTATTTCATTCAAAGACTAGAGTCAAGATAAGAGCACATTTAATCTGTAGGGTATTCATATCAGATGCAAAGTAGTGGCAATTATCCACAACTGCTCATGCTTGATGACTGAATGATCAAGATTCCTCATTAGAATAATAAGCCACATTTATTACAGTAGCTGGTTAAAGCAATGTTTTGCTCTGCTCAGGTCCCTACTATTCACAAAGTCGATGAGTTTACAGAGTCCCAGACAATTTTGCTACCTGGGTGGTGCCATCTCTCACGTGTGTACCCTTCAGGTTAAATGAATGTGTACCAACAACTGCCCATACCACTCATGGCTGGCTGGCAAATGGTCTATTAAAAGAACACTGACTCAACATCAGGAACAAAATGTATGTACAATGTTCCTAGAGGCTTATAACCTAGCTAGACACTTATGAAATGTGGATTGAGTTATTCTAGAGTGGAAGAAAAAATATCTAACCTAGCTCTTTTAATTTCTTCCTTTTTATCCTTTAAGTCTCAGAATTGATGCTTTCTCCTTCAAGAAGCAACCCCTTTCTCCCAGTTTGGGTCAGCATCCCCTCCTTTGTTTCCCATTGCATTGTATGTTTTCTTCATACAATCAAAGCACTTATTTCTTTGTGTTCTGCAATAGACAGAGAGTTCCCTGGGGAAAAGAACCTGGACTTCTTTGTAATCATAATAATTCAGAAGAACCTGTATAAGACAAGGTTCACAACAGGTACTTAGAAAATGTGTACTGAGTTGATAAAGAGGTTGAGCTAAGAAATTATATTCTTCCTTCTTGTAAGAGAAGAAAGTACAGTCTTTGCATGTACTCATGTGTTCATGTGAGTTTCAAAGAAATAGCAGACACTGTGCAAGATGCTAGAAATACTGCAATAAAACAGTACCTTAAAAATTCAATGCAATTTAATACATGTTGCCATGGGTAAAAATATTAAGGATGAATCAAAGTGGAGCAATATAGTGTATAACCTATCACAGAAGGCCTCCCAGGAGGTGACATTTGGTTTGGGTAGTGATGAATGAACGAGGGAAAAAAGGGGACAGACTTCTTCTAGGCAGAGTGTCATGAGAAACATGGTATGCTTAGGAAATGAAAAGTAGCTTCATGTGGCCAGAAAACTGGACTTTAAGGAAAGGGACTAGCTTGTGACAAAAAGTTTTGAATGCCCAGAGTTGGCAAGATAGGTTAGAAGCAGCTTATGCTGTGCTAAGGAATCTGGGCTTTATTTTCAGTGGAATGGGAATCAATGAAACCTTATAAGTAGAGGAGTGATGTGATCAGAGCTAGTGAGATACAAGATTCTACAATTATCATGGAAGAAAATGGATCCATTTATTAAGTTTGAGAAACTACAGACAAGGAGGCTGGAGCCTCAGGTTGGAAACATTGACCTAAATGATCAAACAGAAGAAGTAAAGTTAACAAGATCAATATTTCCTTTCCCTGGGATGCTTATACCCTAACTTTTCTGATACAGCTTGTCAACTCCCTGGGAACATGAGCTGCATTTTTCTCTGAAGAATAATTTTTAAATAACAACATTCTTACTGTCTTATATTCATAATAATTTAGTAAGGGTAAGCAAATAATATTGCAAACTGAAGGACTTTCCATACCTGAGACACTCTGCCTGTTGGAATCTGAGTCCCCATTACTGGAGTTAGAATTGTTGGAGGAGTTGTTGTCAACCCCTCCCAGAAGGGGGCGCAAGTGGCTTACTGAGACTTGTTCAATGAATGAAGTTCCGTACTTGCGAAAATACCACCATTCAAATATCTAGAACAGAAAAATAATAAGCGTGTTTATGATTCTTGTTACCGTTTATGACTTTTGTACACATGCCCATAAAGTATGTTATATTTACTAACTCTATCCACCTTAAATACTTCAACAATTTTTAATCCAAAAATTGTTTATTCTAAAAATAAAAACACCAATGACACTTAAAATTATCAATGTGGTTTTCTCTGCTTAATACTGGTTTCAAAAAATCTACTAACTACAATCATTAACAGTTAACGGACACTGTTAAGAACTGTTTATTGTTTTTCTCCAAATTTATATAAGATTCAAATAACAAGAGCATCATAGCTGAAAGCCAACTCCAGAAATATGGCTTATCCTACATTCAAATTCTTGGCACTTTATATTCTGACTTGGTAAAATTTTTAAGAGCAAAATTTCTTTGTTTTCTTTAGTAAGACCTCCTTTAGTAAGAGAAATGCTGGTTTTACAGAACAAAAGAATGAGAGGTATCCCATTTCCTGTGTAGATGGTACCCAACTGCCAAGACTCAGCATTATTCCACTTGCTGAAAAGTGCTTTATAAACACAAGCATCTGTTGTACACCATTAATGTTTCCTAGTTCACAAGCTTACTAATCATTATGTACTGTGAATTCCAAAAGAGAAAAGAAATAATTTTCATTAATAAAAGGAGGGACAATGATGCTCACATGACTAGATCGAAGTCAGGACTTCCTAAGTACCAGAAAAGCAAGTGACCTCCCCTCGTCCTTCTCACCTGGACCCCTCAGCTTCTACAGTGAACATTTCCAATCACTCTTCAAAGTCCCACATCCATTTCTCTCCCCTCTCTGACTTAGAATTTTTTTTCCTTAAGCAGTCACAAATCATTGCACAGAAGAAATTTAAGAATCAACTATATCCTAGAATCTCATAGGATAGCTATATTTTTATAACATAGAATGTGTAATTAATATCAAATGAATTAACTTTATTCTTACTTATTTCATAAAAACAAGATTTCATTATCTACTCTAGGATGGACTTTGGATTATTATTTAAAAACTGATGTTTTCTCTCTTCTATTATATCAAAGATCTAAAAATATATAAAGAACATCTATGAGTGACCAGAGGAAGTATTAACCAAATGAAATGTTTCCAATCCTATAATAGGACACCTTGATTTAATTCCAGGGAGTTACTCCTTCTGACTACAGGTTGAGTATCCCTTATCCTAAATGCTTAAGACCAAAACTATTATGGATTTTGAATGTATTTTTCAGATTTTGGAATTTTGTATTATACTGGTTGAACATCCCTAATTCAAAAATCCAAAACACTCCAATGAACATTTCCTTTGAGTGTCGTGTTGGGCATTCAAAACTTTTCAGATTTTGGAGCATTTTGGATTTTAAATTTTCATATTTGGGATGCTCAAGCAGTATATGAGTTTTTACATGTTAAAACATTCAAGCAATTTCTCTTGGCACAGTGGGGAGAATATATTATGAAAGTTAAGAAGGAACAAGACTAATCTGTAACATCCAGAATATCAGAAATGAGAGATTTTCTTTGAAGAAGGGAGAAAGTTCAAAATGGCAAATGTATAGACCATAGATCCAGAAGGGAGTGAGTTATTTGATTTATTTGAACATCAGTTTCTTCAACTGTAAAGTAGAAATATTTATCTCAAGGGCCCTTAATTTTCAAACCAACCCATGTAAGAACACTTAGTTCAGTGCCTGCTGCATAGTCAATTTTCAAACTGTAACAGCAAAGCTACCATTTATTATGTTAATGATATCCATGCCTCCTCACATATTTCTAGGAGTCACCCCTCTTTTTGCCATTCAACAATTCAGGTTAGCACAGCATCTTGTCTGTTACTAGGTTGTTGGTGGAAAGTCCTGGAAATCATTGTGACAGTGATACAGTTCTGACTATTCAACAAAGCCCTCGGGAGATTGATGACTTTGCCTTTATTAGAAGAGAAGGAAGACTCAAAGGACCCAGAACACTGGTCGCAGAACTGGCAGTGGCTCTCAGTCACTAGTGGAGGACAGCCTTCTTTGCCTCAAGCCTTTGCTTTGCTTTCTATATTGTGCTGCTGCGGCATCTGCCAGGCCTTAGTTCATTCATTCGATCACACAGCACTAAGTGTTCCATACCCATCATGAGCTGAGCTCCAGAATCACAAAGACTTGACTTCTGCCACTACAAGTCCATGCCACAGATCCACAATGCCCCCCACAAGTTGCTCCTGGCATGCCTGTACCAATATCACATAAAAAAAAATCCTCAGCATTCTTCAGATTTCTCAGTTCCTCCAGCAGAACCACAGAATGTCAGCACTAAAAGGGACCTTAAAGGACTATGTACACAGTCCATTTACCAATGAGGAATGAGGACTATCATTCAAGACACAATGACCTGACCAAAGTCACATAGCTAAATAGTCACTTAGCTGGAAGCCCCAGCTCTCTGCCACTAACTTACCAAGTCCCTATAATAAGACCCCTTTTTATAACTCCTTTGCTTCATGTGAACAAACCCAGACAGATGTAGCCTCCCATTTCCCTTTTCAAATCTGCATTTCCAAGTGCCCTCTGACACTATCCCTCTGTGCTTTCTCAGCTATAAAAACCAATCCAGAAATAGTCTATCAAATAGGACCAGATAATCCATCCTAAGATATCAATGGCTCATATAAACTAGACATTTGCATTATAATAAGAGATAGACCTTCCACCCAGTATTTCTAATGAAGTAATAACAGACCTCAGTAAAGGCTGGGTTATTCGTGCAGCTGTCTTGTATGTGGGGTTATCTTCTCAGACCTATCATATCACAGCAGTAGTACAACTCTTGCTGTGTATGGGGTACACAAGTATAAAGAAGGACTGCTACTGTATACAGGGGATAATAGTATAAAGGAGGACCTCTGTTCTTCCAATTTGTATTGAATGAACAACTACGAAAGGAAGAAGGGAAGAATCTGAAGCCTTCTGAAACTTCAAACCAAGTCTACTAATTTGGGGTCTTAGCATAACAATCTTTCCCTTATCCTGAAACACGTCAGGCTTTGGGCAAAGCACCTGGAGCTGCACAGATCCAAATGGACAGATGGTGTTATCTAATGCGCACATATTTGGTGTCACTTTGAATTCTTTTCCCTGGTGCATACCTACAATGTAAACAGCAAAGCTCTCATAAACAAATTTAGATTTTAAAAGTAGATCTCGGACATGCTAGTAGCTTGATGGGCCTGCCACAGTGGAACACAAAACAGTTTTTAATTTGACAGATAATCAAAAAATTAAAATATAAATTTATACATGTCATTGTTTTAAAAAGTTAATCTTGCTAATGCTTTTTTCCTACTCACAAATTATACAGGTTACAAATTTTCCTACTCCACCTCACAAATTATACAGGTGAAATAAGATAGAAACTAAAAAGCATCACTTGGGTTTGTCATTCAGGTAGTCAACAGTGACCCTACCATCTAGTTTAAAGGCAAAAGCCCTTTAAACTAGATATCTGGGTTGTGTGACTTTGGTTGGTTCTCTTGATTCTCTGGGGCCCAGTTTTCTAATGTGTAAAATGAAGTCACAGTAAACACTCAGTTAATGCTGGATGAAGGGAGGGAGTTTGGGATGATTAGAAGACTAGATGGATGGATGGATGGATGGATGGATGGATGGATGGATGGATGGATGGAAGTTTGAATGATGGATGATAAGGGCTGGCCCAACTGATGTAATGGGATATAGTCTAAATAAACAGCAGGATTGATAAAAAGGTTTTATGTTCATTTTGTTTGTTATAAAAAAAAAAAAAGAGGCTCACACATATTTGTAGCAGGGGAAAAATCCAGTGGAAAGAGAGAAATGAAAGGTGGGAAGGAGTACAAATGACCAAGAGACATGATGCCAACAGCCCAGGATGCATATCCATCCTATCTTGAAAAGGTAACCTACCACTTCTTGCTCTAAAACAGGAAGAAAGAGAAAGATGAATGGACATTCTATCTTGGAAAGTATGGTGTGCTATGAACTATTTCACAAGTAAGAAGGCAACAAAAGGATAAAAACTCCACTAATCTCAGTGGAGGTGCAGGTAAGGTTTATCTTCTGGGAATAGGGAGGTGGGGAGGAAATTGAGAATGAGAGGGTTGAGGAAGTGGTTTGGACCTATACACTACAAGGCAGAAGGCACATAAGCTACACTCAGGACAAAAATGATATTAAAACAAAGACCCATTTGTCAAGGACCCTGTGCTCTCCTCCATTACTACTTGACAGAAGTAGAGAGGATGACCAAGGAGGGCTGGAGCTAAGAGCTGGAGGTAGAGATCTAGATTTGCAACTGGCCTAAGGTGCAAACTTGTCTCATCTTTACCTGCAGGAAGGGAACAAAAATCTGACAGAGGTGTAATCCTAGCACTTTAGGAGATCAAGGTAGGAGGACTGCTTGAGGTAAGGAATTCAAGACCAGCCTGAACAAGAGCAAGACCCCGTCTCTACAAAAAAATTAGCCGGGCATGGTGGCGAGCACCTGTAGTCCCAGCTACCCGGAGGATGAGGCAGGAGGATCACTCAAGCCCAGGAGTTTGAGGTTGCTGTGAGCTAGGCTGATGCCATGGCACTCTAGCCCGGGCAACACAATGAGACTCTATCTCAAATAAATAAATAAATAAATAAGTAAAAATGAATCTGACAGAGGGATGGGAAAAAAGGCCCTTCCATCACACTTTGCAGACCTAAAAGTTGAATCTTTACTGAAGATGCCTAGATTCTTCTTATCCAGTAAGACCTCCTTTTCTTTTGAATTGTAAATTCTTTATATAAAACACTTTATGAGTCAGGGACTTTCCTATATGTTTTTTTTTGTTTGTTTGTTTGGTTGGTTGGTTGGTTTTGGTTTTCTGGCAAAAGGGGATCATCTGGGTTGTTGATAAAGGAGATAAACCAAGGAAGCTGAGACGTTAGTTACAATAACATCCGTAATCTTTTTAGTTTCCTTTTT